AACCACATGTGATGACCCCGGGTTGGACTCCGCTTTGTCCACGGTGAAAGCCGATCTGGTGATCCACAGCGCACAGTTATTGTATTTCCTCAGCAACCAGCACGGATCAGCTCCAGGCATGACGAAGCAGATATCGTCCTCTTTTGGAAGGCCAAACAAAGTAGTTACGCCTTCTTTCTTTGCGTGAACAGCGTTATGCAAATCTTCCCACATAGTGACGTAGGTATGTGGGGGCGTGTTAGAACGAGCCGTTTTAGGTAGGTGTGGCTGACTCTTAACTTTTATAAAGAATATCTCTTTGGATTTGAGACTTTAGTCTTTGCAACTTTACAGATCTTCTTTATGCACCAAGAGCTTGTAACACTCCAAAGAGAAAGGAAAAATTTAAATCGCATCATATGACCCCTTTAAATATGAGATCTATATAAATCTGTTTGTTCAAGTGTTTGGTTAAAGAAATTGATGTTTTCAATAAATATATTTCTTTTTTCTGCATGAAAATGTCAAATGTTTAAATTTGTCCATTGTGGTACAGTGCTGCCTTGAGGCAACAAACTTAAAAAAAAAAAAAATGAATTAAAAAAATAATACAATTTTATTGATATTGTTATAGTGTCCAATTTTAAGTAGGAAAAACATCACAAATATTTTTTTCCTCATTGATATCATATTCCGTACCATAGAGGGTTAAATAAGTGTTAACATTAAAGGTTATAGGCCTTACAGACAGACAAACAATTGTGTTTAAAGTGTCACCAAATTGTACTCAATACAAATACACTACAGTTCAAAAGTGTGGATCCGTAAGTTCCTGTAAGTTTTTTTTTTTTTTTGTATTAACACTTTTATTCAGCAAGGATGAATTAAACTGATCCAAACTGCCAGTAAAGAAATATATGTTGTTATTGTTACAAAAGATAACTAATTCAAAGAAATGCTGTTCTTTTGAACTTTCTATTCATCAAAGAATCCTGAAATAAATCCTGAAATATATTTTGAACATTTATAATAATAGTAAAAAAAAATTCTGGAGCACCAGATCAGCATATTAGAATGTTACGCTGAAGACTGGAGTAATGGCTGCTGAAAATTCTGCTGTGCCAGTACAGGAATAAATTAAATAAAATATTTAAAAATGGAACACTTATTTTAAACTGTAGTAATATTTCACAATATTACTGTTTTTACTGGTATTTTTGATGAAATAAAAAGCATAAGAGCATAAGAGACTTCTTTCAAAAAAAAATTACCAACTTTTGAGTGGTAGTGTAAACTTCTTTATTAAATTATACTTTATCTTCATCTATACTTTATCTAGGGTGAAAAAAACTAAGAATTTTATTACTGATGAATGTCATGACTTCTGTGATGAAATCTTATCAGGATCCCTTTAATGCCAGAACCAATGGTACTAAAGTAACTAATTATGGACCAGTATTAAAATTATCTCAAGATGTCAGTAAGTCAGTACTTTTGCTCTTAGTAATATTTAAATTTGAACATAACCAAAATGTGATGTTTCAAGTAAAATGTGTTTCATAACTTAAAAATACATAACTTTGAATGTGTATGCTTCACTTATTCTGTTGCAGAGGTGTCTAACCTCAGAAAGAGCTTCCTTTGCAGCCTTTGTCTGCTCAGTCTGAGGGATGATCTGAACTTCATACAGAGATATCTGCTCTGAGAGCTTTTCCACATGCTTGATCAAACGCTCAACATAAAGATCCTGACAGAGAGAAAGAGAGAGATGTTTGAATGAACATATAGCTTTAATGAAATGGAGAGAATGCATTATACAGTGGTGTGAAAAAGTGTTGGCCCCCTTCCTGATTTCTTATTTTTTTGCATGTTTGTCACACTTTAATGTTTCAGATCTCAGGAAGGGGGCCAACACTTTTTCACACCACTGTATATATAACATATACATAGAATTTCTGGTTAAAATCATTATATAAGCATGCTAATATATACTAAAATAGCAAAACACATGACATGGCCACATTTAACCACAACCATGCACTCTAGAACTCCACCTGCTGGTGTTTATTCTCCTCTGCCTGAGTTCTTGCTTTCTGGGCTTTGTGTGAAGCATTTATTATGGCTTTGATGTCTGAGCGCAGGTCAGTATTGGCCTCCTGCATGTAGAGCAACTTCAGGGCCAGGTTGTCCACTTTAGACTGTAATTCAGAAACTATAAAGCGAGCACAAATGATAACAAGACTAACTGAGATTGTTGAGTGTTAATTGTCTGAAGATGAAGTCTGCACCACTAAAATTGTAAAATAATTATTTCTAAATCCTTTTTATCCTATCTGCTATTGTTCAACAGGTAGCCCCCTCACAAACTGAAGCTATTGGTTAAGCTATTGGTTACTATGTTGCACTGGTTGGGATGATATCTGAATAACAGGGTTTTACAATGCCAAAGAGTCACAATGTTTTTGGGGTAAATCAACTTACTTATGAAAGAAGTATTGTGCATATTATGTTTATTTGTCAGTTTCTTTGAAAAATCATTACTAATGAACAATAAGAATAATATAAATATAAATAATCATCTTTAAAATGTGCTGTTGGTTAGTGCAAAATGTTCTCTACTGTAATTGCATTCTTGTTCAAAATATTTTTGTTAATTGAAATAAAGCTGAAATAAAAATATTAGATGAAAAACAAAACTAAATTGAAATTAGAAATGTTGCCTAGGCAATAAAAAAAAAGTTGAAGCACTAAAATTACTAACTGGAAATAAAAACTGAATCCGAACTAAAACTAAAACTGAAATAGTTTTATTTCAAGCCATGTGCCTTGTGCTGCTTTATATATTTTTTTACATTTTACCTTATTTGTATAGTTGTATTTTATATTTAATCTGTATCTATCTGTATTTATGTTCTACTGTTAGTGTTATCTGTATGCACCAAGGGTCTGAGAGTAACGCAATTTCAATTCTCTGTGTGTATGTGCTGTACATGTGGAAGAATTGACAATAAAGCAGACTTGACTTGACTTGAAATAAAATAAAACAAACAAACCTAAATAGTAATATTTTTTAAATAAATGATTAATAATACTAATAATAATAATAAATGACAAAAATCACAAAAACAAAACTACAAAAAAATTGAATAAATAAAATAAAAACAATATATAAAAAATAAAAGCTAACTAAAAATATGAACAAAAAAATACTCGTATATAAATATACAAAATAACACTGGTTCATAGATCTTCTTCTCACCTTGCATACGTTGTTTGTTAGCCTGACTGGTAGCATCTTGGTACTGATTTTTTACGCCATCCAGCTGGTCTTGGGCCTGTCTATGCTGAGCAGCAGCCTGGGCATTAGCCTCATGACTTGCCTCCAGAGACGCCTGGAGTCTGGCCAACATCTCATGCACCATGTATACTTCTTCAGCAAGTTCATGACGTTTCTGAGCCTCTGCCTTTTCCACTACTATCTGCAGCAGAGCAGTAACGATCAGTTTCTGTAGCCCTTGTTTGTATGTAAGTGTGTGTGCATATATTTCCCAAAGTACAGAAGAAATTTCTGCCCAGTGTGCACGTGTCATTACACAAAGATGGATCATATCAAACATTTTCAGAGAAAAATACGAAGACATTTTTTTTTTTCTATTACCTTCTCATGGAGCTCAAGGTTCAATCTCTCTAGCTGATTTCTGAGGTTGTTTTTCAGTGCAGACTGGAATCTTTTCATTAAGGGCTGATGGATATAAAATGTACAAAACATGAGACCGGGGGTATCAGATTTTCTTTTTTTTTTTTTTTTTTTACTGCTTTAGCCAAAAAAAAAATCAAGTTTACTCACATGCTCAGGATCCAACACTACAAGTTCTTCCTCTTCGTCATCTTCCTCACTGACACTCCCTTCTGCCTCAGTGCCACTGATCGCCAGCTGGAGGGAGTGCTGTCCACTAAGCCCAGCTGTGAGTCCACTGGTCTCAGCATGAGTGCCTCTGTCATAATGGTCTGACTGATCCATCGATTCCCCCTATGAATAAAATCATTAACAAACCTTCATTCTACATTAAAACCAACTGAGTTTACATTGCAAGCCCTGATTGCTAAGACAATGGGAAAACTATAGCAAAACGCTGTTATTCACTCTGATATCATCTGCGTGATTAATGTCTTTAGTAATGTAGTGTTAAACTGATACAAGTGAAAGGTTCGTGTAAGACTCTAGACCTCCTGAGGCTCAGTAAATTCATCAGGAACCTCTTCCTGCCTGTTAATCTGATCCGCCGGTGTCGGCAGACCTTCATCACACCCACCACCTTCCATCTCTTCATAATCAAAAATAAAGTACCGTAATTCAACACAGACACACATATATAAGACATTAACAGGGCATTACGGAGTAACTGTTAATTGTGTTAGATAATTTTAAATTATCACCTGTTTCTTTTGTATCCTGGTCCTGAGTAGCAGAGAGTAACAAATCTTATTTTTCAATATTTATAATAAATATTTTTTTTCAAAGATCTAAAAAATTATTGTTCAATTTCCAATAATTTCTGGTATCACAATTTAGCAGCGCGAGACCTGCAGTGTTTCTTTTTCATCTCCGTTGCTAGGAGACGCCACACTTCCGGATTCGCTACTCTTTATAAGGAAGACAATCAATCTGGAAAAAAAAAAAAAAAACTCAAGCAACAAGATATAAAACATAGCAGAGGTCCTAAAATAAGTTTTATCTTCATTGTCACTTCCTTGTTATCTTGTTCGTTTACCTTCTTTAAAGACAAAAGACTTTAAGGCCACATATTGGGTGGCAGTGTCTGTTAGAACGAATTTTTTAAATACACACAGATGTAACAAAATGACAGTATATCATATCATTTGTTAGAACGAATATAAAGGTTACAGGTTTTATTTTAGTACTTTTTTTTCCTGCCAAACTTTTGTTCCACACTCCAGTCCAGCAGGTGCCAGTAAAGCACCTATGCCAACCGCCAAAAACGCTCAAGAAGAACAAGAAGTGCGCTAGAATGGATGTTAGGACAATAACATAGTGAGCTTGATGAATGAGTACACTTCTGTGGGTCAGTATTTTTAAACCAGTTTGATTATTTACTTTCTTGTCACGTGTTGAGATTTGTATTACGTTCGTGTTAACAGGACAGTGTTTTACTCATAGCTGAGTTGACATGGGTTCATATGTCATTCCATTCTAACAAAAAATGCCTAAAAGAAAGAATACCATAATAGGACAATTTTGTGTCGTAGTAGTATGATCATGAAAAGCAGTTTCGTGACGTACCACAGTATTTTTGAATTACTTTGCAAAGTATCATGTAAATATCAGGCTACATGAACATGATATTCATTCAGTACCATGGTATAAGGCAGTGTTTCTCAACCAGGGGTCCGTGGACCCCTAGTGGTCCTTGACGTAAGGCCAGGGGGTCCGTATAAAGTATGAATTTTTGTATAAATTTTGTATATTTTGACATGACATGTTCCCATGAAAGAAAAATCCAATATAGCTGATGATATGGCCAAATACTGGACAAGTCAGCTAACTTGAATTATACTTGACTGTATTTGGTCCTCACAAAGACACAAATTATACATAGATGAGTCAGTTTTGTTCTGGGGGTCCTTGAGGATGGTTCTGAATTGGACTGGGGTCCGGTAAGCCAAAATGTTGAGATTCACTGGTATAAGGGACCCTATATAAAATTACTGTTTGTGAGTGCAGTTTCTTGTTTTGTGAATTCCCAGAAGAGATGAAGGTTAAAATAAAGCAGTGGAATGGTGTGGCATCGTGGTTGTGGGTGGCCAACGATGAGAACTGCGGCATCTGCAGAGCGCCTTTCAACGGCTGTTGCCCAGACTGTGGGTAACCTGATTTCACTTGATCTACACTGCCTCCTGTGCCTTTTTGTGCAGTTTTGTTACGAAGTCCTGTTGCTGTTTAAGTTCTACTTATGTAGTTGAAGAAAATGTAATCAGCATTACAAAATGAAATGTACTCTCTGGTTTTTACAGGTAAGGTCCCAGGAGATGATTGTCCGTTGGTTTGGGGTCAGTGCTCTCACTGTTTCCACATGCACTGCATCCTGAAGTGGCTGAACTCTCAGCAAGTGCAGCAGCAGTGCCCAATGTGCCGTCAGGAGTGGAAGTTTAAAGAGTGAGCTCGCCTGTCAGGCAACAGCACAACACCTGGATTTTCACTGTGAACTCTGTATATATGTTTTTTTTTAATTATTTTTGGACTACTTCTATCATAGTAATGAATGTTCTTTTTTTTTATTCAGGGGAGACACTTCCTGAGGAGATTAAATAATTGCACACTCAGATCGATTCTTTTGTTTGTTTATTGTACAATGGTATATTTTACATCCTACAAATGTAGAATTTTGATTAAATATCCCACAAAATGAAAATATTTTTAAAAACACATGGTATGGTTTTGTACAAAGAAGCTGATATCACTGATAACTTAACTGCATTTTGCAGTCCAACAGACAGTCATTTTAAATTATGAACACAGTACAGAATGTCACAGAACACTTACAATGGTATGCATTTGTGCATATCTTAAATAACTTGACATGAAATTCCCACAATTTGAAATATTTTCAAATTGAATCAACACTCTTTTACTTTAATTATTTTGGGATAATAAATAGTCAACCATTCTTTGCTAACAGATTTGTGATGCAATTAACTTTAAAATGTAACATGCATATTAGTCCACAATTATTGATAATTAGTTTATTTGCCCTGATTGTCTGTAAGCCATATGGTAATTCTTGATTAAAATCATTCCTGGTAGTTATAAAATAATTAATAACAAAGGCACCACAGTAGATCTTATTACTAATTATATACTAAATCATTATATACAGGTGCATCTCAATAAATTAGAATGTTGTGGAAAAGTTCATTTCAGTAATTCAACTCAAATTGTTTATATTAAGTTGCATAAACCACATGATATATGAGTAAGCCATTTATTATGTGGTTTATGCAATGGTTGGAAAGAGTGGAGTAAGATGAATTGGTTACCAGTTGTACAACTGGTACTGGTATTGAGATAAACTAATGCAGCAAAAGCAATATTGAACAATTAGAGAAACTGAAATAGAGCTTATATATAATGAAATATGACTTTCAAAAAAGTAGCATTGGCACATCCTTGCCCAGGATGGGCAACTTGAACAAGTTAACTATTTCCAAGTGAAAACATTAATGTTATACACAGTGATAATTCAATAATGCATTGATCTCTTCCACATCTTTGTGCTGTACCTTTCTTGCAGACATCTTTAGTGTGTTTTAATATTTGTGAACCATTTTTACATTAGTAAAACCAAAAGCAATCATGCAAATTTGTGGACAGTGAGTTTCAATGCTTGTTAAAGGAACCAGGCGAAAAAATTAAAAATAGAATTCAAATAGAGAGAAATATTCTTTTTTATAAACATTGTATGTTTATATGTGCATATGTCTATATGTTTTCAATGAAACAATAAATGTTTTCAGAAACAATATATCCATTATTGGGAGGAAAGGTGCTACATGAAAATAATATTGTATATACTAGAGAATCTTATATACCAGAGGTTGCAGGACAGTTGAACCATTGATTCAAATTGCCCCACAACTACCATTTATATAAAAAATAAATAAATAAAAGTACCAAATTGAGTAATTTAGGTCTTTCCGTGTTTGCAAATCATAAAAATGGCAAATTCAAATTGTAAGCCTAGATAAAGTAAAAAAATAAAATGATTAAAATGTTTTAAAAGCATACATTTAAATATATAGCACATTTTCCTAAATGCTACCCTCAATCACAAGAGTCTATATTTGAGTCATATGAGTCTCAAGATTCCATATTTGGTGTTTATTTTGTGATAGAAGTAATATTGAGAGAGAAATGTATACATTTGTGACCGTAAAAATGTATTAAAAAAATTCAATGGAGTTTGAATGGCACCTGGTGGCTAGTTTTAGTATAGTATATTTTTTTTTATATCAACTTCAAATTTGGAGCACAACTTGTTTAGACATGTTCATGGCCCTAAATGAGAAAAAGTTGCACAATTTCTGGAAGAAAAAGAGAAGTTAAATAGTATTTCATATACATTAAAAATAGAAATGAAAGCTCACTTTTATCATATGAGTCTGAGAAAGTCTTATTCAGTACTGAAAATTAATGAGAAAAGGCTAATTTCTTCCCTTTCCAGGGTAGTAAAACACCAACATAACAACATATACCCAAGAAATATATTTAACTTGGGGCTGTACAGTTGCTTTAAAACAAAAAAAATAAAATAATGTGGGTCAAATTGACTCGCGAACATCAAAATCGTAACAAATTTATGTGTGCGCACTTCAAAACACATCAGTGTATCCTCACTTTGCATGCATGTTCATGGCCCTAAATGAGAAAAAGTCACAAAATATCAAGAATAAAATCACAGGTTAACTGGTATTTCCAAATGGGTCAAATTGACCCAGAACATAATACAAGGGTTAAATAAATTATTTTGTTGGTTTGACTTAAAAATCATATGTCAAAAAGCATGTCTTTTTGACATGTATGCTATTTTATATTAGCTTATATACAGTGCTTTTGGGATGACATATTTTAGGCCAAATCCCAAAAACGAGTTAGCATTTCTGATTCCCATTATCCTGAATGGGGTTTTGGCTAATGCCTGAAATAAGGTAACACAGGAACAAGTTTTTTTTTCTACAACATAAAATACATCAGTAATACCCTAATCTCTTGGTCACAAAGCTTGTTTTCTGCAATAATTCAAAAGCCAATGAATAAATCCAGGCATTTGTCGCCTACAAAAACACATCACTGCAGCACTCTATATGAAAATCAAGGGAAATTCTAAAAACATTTTTAAAGCAGCATTTTGTCCTTAAACACAGGACAAAGTTATCAGTGAACAACACTGATAATTTAAAAAAAGATCAGGGATCGGCAAATAAAGGCCTGAATAACATCAGTGCACCAGGCATGAGATCTATGCTGTATTAGTCTTTATGCTGGATAAATCCAATTGTTTCATGAAGACTTTTTGGAGTCTTGTGTGTTTTTCCTTTTCACATCATTCAAGTCCACTGGTGTAAAAGCTGAAGAGCAGAAACAAACAGTTCGAGAGCATGCATGCATTTTCAAAAAAAATTGCAGGTGACTTTAGGAAAAGGATCAGAAAATATAAAACTGCATTCAGTTTTTAAGAAAAATCATCATTGGCAAGATAAGGGCTGAGATACAGCTGTTCACACAGCCAAATATTTCAACCAATAGTTATTATTTATCATTCTATGTTACTTCAACAACAAAATACAATCCTCAGAACAAATAAACTAGTTACATACAGCTTAGTGCAGGGTTTGGCATCCTCTCCACATACTTCTGAGGTCCCTGGTTATTGTTTTCACTTCCCTGGCAAGTCTGCATTTCTCTCATGACACGCTGCCAAGCTGTTGGAAGAAGAGTTAATGTTATAGAAAACTCTAATTCCCCCAAAATATACTCTTCTCTTAAAAATAGGATATTTTTGATGGGTCTCTGACATTTGAAAAGATTTCTCACGAGGCAACTTACTGTAATGAATGAATCGCACATTTTCCTCATGTGCTGGTGTGAGTAGTTCTTCAGTGTTGGTTGGGGAACAGGCTCCAGACGTCTGCTTATAATTCTGAACCATTTTTAAAGTTGGAGAGCTGCCCACAACACTGTCAAAATCCCTACGCAACAGTTTACTATTATTAAATCAAATTTAAAACACTTAAGTGACAGGCCCACTGTGAAAGATTCTATTATTAAATGGGCAACACGGATTCAATTTACTGATTATTTGTGTGCTATCTAGGAAGTGTCAAAAGCACAAAAAGAGGCGGCTAAAATCTGAATAAAACTGGCTAAAAACTGTAGGAAGTAGGAACAGCTTTTAGAGCCGGTCTATTCCTAAACTTATATATTTAATTCTAGCTGTAGTTCAAACTATCACAGCAAACTAGCTCGGTATTTAACGCCAAGCAGAGTTTTATGGTCAGTCTCACAAACACTAATTTGCCGTTATATAGCATTCAAATAGCAAATGTGTCTTCATATTTTCCCATAACATAATATTTTCGCGACTGATATCCGGCTAGCTTGGCAAGCTAACGTCAAATAACAGCAACCCTCGGCAAAACACAACAGAACTCGATGCTTAAACCAGGGATCGATTTAACGTAACTAATATATTACGATTAATGTGACTAAAACTTTTGCGCATTCGAGACTTACAAAGTGGCGTTGAAATCCTTTGTCCCAGCCAAAAAACAATTATCAAAACAACGTACACCCCTGTGTTCAGTTGTGTCTAGCACAATCAGTGATGTCAGATTGGAGAACGAATCATTCTTTTGAATCGGATCTTTTCAATGAATCACAAATATCGGTTCGCCATCAACATACTACGATGCCGCTTCTTTATGTGAAATACATGGACCAGTGTGCGTGCGCTTGCAGACATGTCTGACTCCTAAAGGATGACAATGAGTGTACGGGAAAAAAATGTAATGGGTCAAGTAAATGTAGTACTTAAGTTAAAATGCTGACTGTTTTCTATAAGCTGAATCACGTATGTAACCGTAAAAGAATCACTGAATCGGTTTATTGATCCGGTTATCACGTGTTTCAAAAGAACCGATTCGCGTAAACGACTTCCCACAGTACAGCACATTAGCGATTCGTTCAGCAGAGCACTTCCACGGTCAACTGTCAACCACGTTCTTGCCTTTCAGAAGGATTTTGACATTCCACATTACTTTCAGAAACATTATGCGTTATATAGATATATAGAATATATCATTCAATAACAGTGGCATACAAATGTTTGATTTTACATTGAATAGCTGGAAATAAACAGTGCTAGGATTCCAAAAAAGATCAATTGCATAATAGCCTACATTTGCCAGTCTGAAGCCAATATATCATTTATTATTATTATTTATTGCAAATGAAAGTATTACAAGAGTTATGAAGTAGCAGAAGGCAAACGGACATCATCGCATGAAGCTAAGAGCTACACAAATCAACAGAATATATGGACAACAAAGAAAAAAACAACTTTTAAACAGAGCAGAAGTAAAATGGAACTTTATATATATTTACAATGAAGGTGAAATTTACCCATGAAGACAAAGCAAAAATACAATATGCTCAAGATGAATGTCCTTAGAATGAAAATCTGACAACAACAACAAAAAAGATAGGTTCTGTCATTGTTACTGCAAAAATTAACATGATAACTTCTGACAAGGGTGTAACTTTGGTTTGAGAAGTGGGGGGGGACACAAAATGGGGGAAAATGTTTTCGATTTGAATCCCATTTCCTGCATGTACATACATTTAGGGACTATGGTGATACAAAATCCAGGAAATAATTAAGTTGATTAATGATCAATTCTGGCAAAAAGAATAGTAGGCTACTAAACTATGTATAAGAAAAAGATGTCTTACTTTCTTTATTGTTTAATAGGGGCCGATCGCCAAGGCTTGAGAGAATCATTTTATAAAGTCGAAAATGTTCACCATTAAAGGGGTCATATGATGCGATTTCAAGTTTTCCTTTCTCTTTGGAGTGTTCAAAATGAACACGAAGAACTATTTTGAAATGGAGTTCTTTCATTTTACTTTCTAATAAAAAGTCTGAAAGGTCCACAAGTTTTTCAATTCAGAGTTTGGATAACATATCCTCCATTTAAATTGTGCTTTTAGAGGGGCTTCTAATAAAGAAGTTAGTAAAACTCGAGAAAATTGTAGCGCTCCAAAAAATAAATAAATAAATAAATAGTTCCTTGTACTGCAGGTGCGTAGAGCCAGTAGGATATTTGAAAATGAGCAAGACGGTGGCTAACTGCACACTGATCCACTCAAGACTAAACAGTCTACAAAAACATATTTTTAATTTGTATAAATTGCATTGTGCAAAAGTGCAAAGTGCATGTGAATTTAAAAAAATGGACACGAGCAAGCAAGCAAACGTTTCAGCACATTGCTATCTTCAGTGCTCAATCAGTGTGCGGTTAGCCACCCTCTTGCTCATTTTCTAATAAAGAAGTTAGTACATTATTTATCTAATACATAAACACCATTGAAAATGATTGTTTAAACAGCCATAACACAAATAAAGTAATTTGTTACCAGACAATATATTTTCATTGTTTCAAATAATACACATTTGCTATAGATGTAAGAAGGATGATGTTTAAAAGCAATCTTCCAGGACAGTTACAGGACAATAAAAAACCAAAGGTACTCAAAACCAGGGTAACTCATTAGATAAACAATTCTTAATCTAGTTCATTTTGAAAGTCTGGTTAATGATTTTAAATTCTAAAGTATTAGGACCACCCTCCTTATAATTTCTTATCATGGAAGTCCTTTGAACACATTCTGTCTTATTTTTCCAAATAAAGCGGAATAGCAGACTTAATAAATTTAATAGTTTTTTGATCAACACAAAGGGAAAAAGCAGGATAAACTAGGCGTGATATGCCCTCAGCCTTAGTCAGCAGGACTCTCCAATAAATTCTCTCTGCAGCCAGCAACATAAAATCTTTTTAATATTGTCTAACCTTGGCTGAAAATTGTGATAGATATGGTCTGAATCTGATCTGCAGATATCAACCCCAAGATATTTTACATGAGTTTAACTTTAATACCATCAACCAAATTTTTATTTTAATTATGTACATATAAAATTTCACTTTAGTTGGGATTGACTACTAATCCTAAAGATTAATGCATTATTATTGTATGTATATTGTGTAGCTATGGACACAGACAACAGCCAAAATAAAACAGACAGCATTGTTTTTTTTTATGTATATTTATGTATAAAAACATTGAATCCATACATGTATAAAATTAAGACTTTCTGTACAATTTCTTGTTTTATATGTAAATGGGTAAAAAATCACATACAATCACAGTGAGCTATTTATCAAACTCACACTATAGTGCATTGATCTGCGAATTAAAAATCATGTTTTAAAATAGAAAGTGTTAACTATAACAAATTGACAGAAAAGCTGTTGTGACTGTCATTAGCTTACAGCAAGAACACACTGCATCGTCTACACTGGAACAGTTCCTTCTTGTGGAGGCAAGTGCATCTCACATCCTAATCACTGTCATTGGTCCAAATGCACAGGACCAGACAATTATAAAGTGAAAAGTGAAAGTGAGTGACGTGACATGTGGCCAAGTATGGTGACCCATACTCAGAATTAGTGCTCTGTATTTATCCCATCCAAAGTGCACACACACAGCAGTGAACACACACACACCGTGAACACACACCCGGAGCAGTGGGCAGCCATTTTTTTGCTGCGGCGCACGGGGAGCAGTTGGGGGTTCGGTGCCTTGCTCAAGGGCACCTCAGTCGTGGTATTGAAGGTGGAAGAGAGGATGTACACTCTCCTAAGGGGGAGTGTACATTCACTCCCCCCACCTACAATCCCTGACGGTATGAGACCCGAACCCGCAACCTTTTTGGGTTACGAGTCCGACTCTCTAACCATTAGGCCA